AACCTATTCACACGTATCTATATACCTCTGAGCTCCCTAGCGCTGCTGGAGCATCAGCAGCTGGTACTGAAGGTCAGTACACACTGTTTTCTCTTTATGATTTACATATTCTCTCATCTAAATAATGATTCTTGGAGGAAAATGTGTTTGCAGCTGGTTTGGGTACCGTGCTTGTCCATAAGACACATGTGTGGTATTTGGCACCCTGACACGAGAAGACTCTCAGGGGGTGTGTGATGTGTCACCACTTGGTCATATTTCCACTCCAGGTCCATTAAATGAGATAAAAAGGATTTTGGCAGGTGATAGACTGGCAGTGGAGCAGGCAGCAAGCAAGCAAGGAGTAAAACACCATCTTTCATGTCTCCTTTTGCTCCCCTCCAGGACCGAAGGTGATGCTGAACACCAAGCAGAGGGTGGTCCAGGGCCACCCACAGGTCCTCAGGCCTCCTCCATAAATCCCTCCTGCTGCCCCTCACTCCTCCCTGAAGCCAGTCTCCGAATCCCCCCTAATTTGTCAGCACTCCCCTCCCCTGCTCTGCTTATCCTGCTCCTGGCCCTTGCTGAATCAGACCTGCGCAGCCTTTCCCCACACCATGAGCACCATAGAGATCACCTCCATTTCATTCCAGTATGTGCATGGGGAGTTGTTGCAATTTCAGCTTCGATTTTGGGCAATTTTGCTTTCCAAGCACTCCCCTTCCAGCTGGGACAGGGCATGCCCCAAGGATGGTCACCAGCGCTTCTTTGACCCGTCTGGTGCCCAACAGGATCATCTCCAGGAAGGAACAATTTGACTTTAAATCTAAGCTGCTTCGTCCTTGAGGGCGTTCCTCACTCAGCATTTTTGGGACTCCTTTGCAGCTTGCTTTTCAAGTTTGCCTCACTGCTAAAGGTCAGTCTTGCTATTGTTTCCATGCTCAGTGCTGCAAAATGCCTATTTGGCAAAAGTGGGGAGCAGGAGTGGCAGATGGTGGAAGCTGTACCTGGCAGGAACGGGGCTAATTGAGCCTCTCGGGTTCTAAAAAACACAAAATGTGCTTTTTTTGACAAGCTAAAGCACATTTCCCAGGGTGTCTGGGTGAGGGTGTTGTTCAGTGGTAACCACCACCCCCGCGCCATCCCTCCGGCTCCGCAGGCACTATCCCCCGCTCACCCTGTCCCCAGCACCCCTCGAGGCTGGCAGGGATGGTGGAAGCATCGGGTGGGCACCGTCCCACAGCAGGCAGCCCGAGGCAGGGGGGTCAGTAACCGAACAGGACGGCCAGCATCCACCTGGCTCCGGTCCCCCAGCTCCCACTGTACCCCATACACCCTTCGACACCAGACACACAAACCATGTCCTTCCCAGTCACATTGGTTTTGATATTTGCCAACTGCACTATAAAACAGTAAATGAGAATTATATAAGAACATCTCCTGCCGTCAGCTTTTTTTAGATCCTGAAAGTTCATTTCCTTTCTCTCTAATTTAACTTTTCATTTCCCATTGTCACTGGTAGTCATTCCAACACAGCACGGACATCACCGTATTAGAAAATAATCACAATGACAGATTTTGTTTTGCTGTATGAGACCTTCCACTACTGAATCTAATTACTGCTGATACTTTATGAGCTCCTCCAGCATGAGATAATTGCTGCTTTCTCTTTTTATGAGCAAGAAATAATCAGTTGTCTTTTACGGTGCGACATATAAACAGCAATTAAATACCACAGCTATCCAGCCCCTTTCGTCAGCAGGCACCTCTCATCAGAAAGCCAACACAGAAGAAGGTTAGGCTTCATTTATCGTTTGCACTGAATACTTCTTTTAACAGAGGAGAGAGGGAGGTAATAAGGAACACTCTCAAATGACCAATAGTTTTCTCCAGCTGATTAAATGCTCATTTTAATACGGAGAAGCAGGAGCATCTCACAAGCAAAGCAGTTTGCTCAAAAGTCACAGTGCTCAACATCAGCACCAAACCCTTTGCAGGACCCAGCCTTGGTGAAAAGCTGCAGAGACAGCAACAGGCTCAAGCATCAGGGAGCACAAAATCACACTTGGCTCCTACCAAAACCTGCTGCTTTGGCAGTCTTTTTCCTGGTCCAGTGTTTCTAAAAATATATTTATATGTATGTATCTCCTAAACATCCTGACATCAACACGGGGCCCTTGGTTACAGCATCACACGTGGAGGAGATGGAGCAGAAGGAGACCTTTATGGGGAGGACCCATCAGACAAGTGGGAGCTCACACTGGCTTTTGCAATCCTGGGGTGGATCTCCTCCCTGTGTCTGAAGCCCTATCCTGTAGGTGTGGTCCCAGCCCTGGAGGAAATACAGCACCCCTGTGACATCCTCCACACTGGGGTATGGGAAAACGCATGGGCTGGAACCTGGTGAGAAGACCTCAGCCAGATTATTTTGTTGGTTCGGATTGTAAGAAGCCTTCTTCTGACACTCTGTTTTGGCAATCCTGACACTAAAACCAGAAAGTCTAGTAAACAAATACTTTTTTTTTTTTTAGGGAAAACATATAGTGACAAAATCTCACATCTCAAAAAAAAAGCACTAATGGTTTGCACTTGGGAAAAGCTTCTGATGCTGCCTGGAAGTCTGTCCTATCTGAACACTGGAGATGAGTTTCTCTGCCACCCAAACAGCTTATTTTCTGGGTTTTTTGTGGTTTTTTTTCTTTGTTTTTTTTTTTTCCCTTCAGTTCTTTACTTGAACAAAGCGCCTGCTTTTGAATAATTCATTGATGAGGCTTGTACCACTTAGTTCACAAAATCACAGCAGGGAGCGATGTTTTTCATTAAATACTTCTTTGCCAGCTCCTCTCTGTGAAGGAGTCTTGCTCTGCTTGCTCGCTTGCCAAAAGTCTGCCAGGCAGCAAAGAGCAACACACCCCATGGGCTGATAAAATGGGGGTGATGAGGGGATGCTGGGGCAGCACTCCCTCATCTGGCTTTAGCCATCTAGAAGGGAAGTGACTGCATTTGAGATGAAGAGTGCTGTTGTCCTTCAGAGTCACAGGAGGAAGATGGATCTCCAGTGCTCTGGATCTCCCCGGTTCCCTCCACAAGATCATGATGGACATGACCAGCTCAGGTTTAGGTAAATAACCTTTACCCATTGCAATTAAGGCAGGTGAATCCTGCCACAAGTTGCTGAATCAAGGAGGAAGAAAGATGCTCTTCTTGTGAAGGCAGTGGATTGGCATTATGAATAACCATCCTGCTTCTGCTGCAGATTTCTTATGCAAGGTAATACCCACATGCTCAGACGCCTAATTTATAAACAGTGAATAAGCCATCTTCCTCTTGCAAAATACTAAGAGGAATTAGTCATATGTATTAACCTCACATTTGAAAAGCAATGGTGGAAGGCATCATGAATAGCAAGTTGGAGTGAATTACTGAGATATCTATTAGCACGTTAACATGTATTTAAAATACATGGCATATCTGACTGCCAGAAAATTTGCTAATAATGAGGCATGAACAGACTCAGCAACTTAATCAGAAAAAATGAACTATTACTGTTGTCCTGACTATTTTTACCCTCTCATAATGTTGATAAAAAAATCACAAACACTTCAAACAGATCAGTGCCTGGCCAAAGGCTTTTGCCTTTAGTTTATTATGGCAAGACATTAACATGTGAAATATGTGGCTTCATTTTCCATGCTGCCCTCCTCACAAACATTAAAAAGGATGGATTTCAATCAAGCAAGGAAATCAGGCTCTACTCAGCAATCAGGGGGGAGAGAAATTTGCTGTTTCCCATTCTAACTCCTAAAACTTCTTATCATTACCACATCTTTAATGTGGAGTAATTTGAGTTTCTCCTTTAGCTTCAAAGATAAATGGAAGGGAGATTTCAATTTGGATTACTCAGAGGAGGGCTGGAGTTGAACTGGGAAGTCCTTACAGGTGCTTGGAAAAAGCAAAACCTCCCTCCTTGGCTTGGTCCTCAGTGCAGCACATTACTGCTCACCAATGAAGAGGAAGACTACTTTTCTCTTGTTGTGGCACAAAAGAATGATGTAAATACAGTTGAAGGTAGAAGTGGGAGAAGAATTGATTATCCTGAGGTAATAAATATCACCGATACAGCACGGTTACTTTATTAAGTGGTATGGAAAAGACAGGAAAATGGTTTCAAAGGAACAAGAGCTCTATAAACACTTCTCCTGGTAGGACACCAAATGAACGATGCACCTCTCAGTGGGGATGTTTATTTGTTACATCAGCTCAGATTTTCCAGGTATTCGTAAATAAACTTCAATACGCTTCTTGATCAGTGCCACTGTGTAGTCAGTACCATTAAGGTACATGGTGGATTTTTTAAGAAGCTAGGGGTACTCTGCACATATAAAATAGGACATTATGTCTCAGTTTTGGTGCTTGCATGACTCCCCCGTAGCCCTTCAAACACACAGCCCTCTAGTTTCTAACACAGCAGGTGCACACATGAGCGACCGTATTTCTGGAGCTCAGGATGCCTTCCAACATGGAAGCTGTATTTAACGGCAGGTCTATAATATAAAGGTTCCAAAAGCACTCCCAATGACACTAACAAGAACGCATGCATTCAAAATCCCACCCAAGAGACCCATGGGCCATGTTGTCTGAAGACAACTGGAGCACGTTCATGCTTCAGGCAATGCAGAGGGTAAGCCACGGCACAGCCAAGACCGCCTGTCAGACTTAGGAAGGGTGCTGAGAGGGTGCTCTGCCACAAAGCCTCCATGCCACCATCTGCTGCACATGACACTGGCACCTTGGTTCACAGATGGCCAAGATTTTCAAGATTCATCTGCTGTTAACACAAAAAGAAATCCACTGTTGTCATGTTGCTGCAATGATCCACTTACCGCACAAATGCAACGGCACGAGGAGACAACACTGCTGCATAGGATGAAGACCTTCAGATTATAGATGCTCTGTTAACGTAACATTTGCACCGTTTGCTGCGAGCCCATGGAGCACAAGGTGCAGTAAGGAGGACTCACCCGTTTGGTGTAGTCCATTGCCTTCAGGATGGAGAGGTTCAGCATCTCCAGTGAGGCCAAGACGTCTTCATAGTCTCCCATATGGTCAGCAAAATAGTCTGGGAAAACCAAGAGGGACATGATGGGAACTGTTGATGCAACTTAAGGCTTCAAGGCTACGTGGCACAGCAAGGTCTATTTATTGGTGGAAAGAAAAACCTGAGAGGGTGGTTTCAGGTATATTTTTATATTCTCTATCCTCAGCCAAAGTCACAGCTTGTCCTGCAGGAATGGGAGGTGGTGCAATTCCCGTGAAGTTTGGGACCATTGTAAAAAAGAGATATAAGGCACTGTAGCTCCCACCAAAAATAATTTAGCAGGTGCTTTTTTTCCATGTCCATTTCTGCATTTGACCATATCTTGGCTCTCTCCCTCCTACTGCCAACATGGAGGGCGAAGTCTCAAAAGAAATTCCTTTTCCATTCCCGTGACAGTCTTTACCACTCAAAGCATCCAAATACCTGCCAGGTTGACCCCAATTTATATAAGCTGAGACTGGCCTTCTACATTCCCATCACATTTGTACCTCAGCCCACAATCACAGGTTGCACAGGCTTCTGAGAGCAAAATATGCCTCAAAAGGAAGAGAATAGAGCTGCAAGTTGGGCCCAAAAGCACGTTCTCCATGGAGAGGGAGTCCACACTTTCTCCGTGCCATCCTCATCCCTCCTGCAGGAGGGGTGATGCGTGCCAGGCTGCACTGCAGCTCTGGCAGTGGCCAGACACAATCCCAGCCACTCTTCACTGATGCAAAATACAGCCAAAATTGGTGTGTCCCCACGCGGCTGATGGCTCCATGACACATATGAGCCCCGGTGCGGTTTCGTGCATGAGCTATGGAGTCCTGAAATTCACTGTTCACAATGGAAACAGTGAGAAGTGAAGCGTGGCGGTGTGGTGTGCAGTGAGTTTACAGCATAGATATGAAGTTACCCGGTTTCTGGGTGATTGACACAGACTACAGCTAAAAGCTGTTCCTTAAAAGCCACCGGCGTTGTTTCTTAGCACTAAGACATGAAGCTTCACACTGAGGTGACATCTCTGCAGAATGCAACAAGACATAAACTCCAGGAAACAATCCCGCTAATTAGGTTCTCTTGGCTGAATTAGAAGTGCCTGTTGCTATTTACAGCCCAAGAACATATCCAAGGGGAAGAAGATTTTGGCAGAAACCAGAATGTAACAGCATGATTGACAGCAGCCCTTTGCTGTTCCACGATAAGCCAAACAGCTTATTCTCACTGCAGCATGTTTATTTGTTTTATTCTTGTTACTTTACTTGGGAAAGAAAAACTGAGCAGATCTTAAAGGTACAGACTTTTTGTAAGTCCTGAAATAAAAAGCTGGACCCATACATATCAGGAGAAAGGAGCTGCTGTGGGCAGAGCACAGCCCTCAAGACCATCCAAGGAGCATCTGGGAGGAGAAACGGCATTGACTTAACCAAAGTATTCAGTTCCACTGGCTTAGCCTTATTTATTCATGTGAACATCCAAGATCAGCTCTTCCTATCCTACATGGTTCTTGCTCATGGCTCCTACACATCTGCAGAGAGCAATGGGATCAATGCTCAGCATCACTGCAACCCGGGGCTGGTGTGGGAGGAGGTGGGTGCCCCCTCCCCACCTCTCCCCTGCAAAGTTGTCACCCACCGCCCTGGTGGTCTGCAATGGGTTGATGTGCATCTCCTGGTTGTAGAGTACACCTCAGTTCGCTGGACAGCTTGTACCATTGCATGCAATGTCTGCGTTTCATTTAAACTGAAAAGTGGCAGGTACAATTTGGTAGCTGTACTCACATTTTCTGGGTGTATTAAGTGCTCCCAGCTATGACTGGGAGCTCCTCTGGGGGTAAGAAGCTACACAACCATGTTTAAGTCAGTCTAGGTGCTGGTGATCGTTGCATTCGTTGGCAGGAAAAAAACCCAGAACTTTATAAGATGCTACCTGATATGGACTAAGCCATATCAAATTTCTCATATAAACTGCAGGGCTCAAGAAATCCCTTTTAAGATGCTCTCAATGTCTTACAACACACAATCCCTTTCAAGAGAGAGACCACAGCTTCCATTTTGCCAAAATGAGGTTTTATGTTTAAACTAATACTTAGAAGAGTAGCAAGCAAATAAGAAATCGCAGGCAAGGGCAGGTATTCAGCAGATAAAGGATCTAGGCAGGATCTTGTGCTGATCAATCTTTCCTCCGGCTTTCCGCAGGAGGTGATGGGTTTATCTCACTCCTCTCCTGGCAGCTTCTCCCCTGGGAGAGGCAGCGAGGTGGGATCACACTGGGTGACAGCTATGTGATTTTCTGATTTTATCAGGCTGATGGAGAAAGCAGGGTGGGAAAATACTACCCCTGTATTTCCTGGCAAAGTTGATGGTACAAGCTGTGGGGTTTTGGTTTCTTGGGTCAGCTGGCAAGTAGACCTAATGCAATGAGAAAGGAGTGATGGGAACAAGCCCATCAGCAGACCAAAAGGATTTTATGAAAGGCTTCATTTCTTGCATACCAAAGCAACAACAGGTGGGGATAACCAGCTGAAAGGTTGCTGCCTTTGCTGCAGGCTTGAATGGTCAAAATCCTGCTGGGTGCTGTGGTGAGAAAGGCAGGGTGTGGGCAGGTGTTAACTACACCAGGAGGAGAGAAACCCTAGGCAATGTCCTGGTGCAGGCAGACCTGCAGGCTGAGATGGACAGAGAGGTGTTAAAAGTATCAGGAATAACGAGTAACCACCCCGACAAGCGCCCTTCTGGCTGCACAACCCACTCTCAGCCAGACTTCTGAAGGCAAAGTGATGAAGACCTGCGGAGGTGGCTTTATGTTCTGCATCCTGGCATGGGAGAGGAGGAGAAGAGATGGATGAGCCCTCTGTGAGGCCACACACCTCCGTCTCCCCATCTCCTCCCAAAAAGCTGGGGCACAGGAGACATTTCCCAAAACCAAGTGTCCATGGAAAAATACAGGAGACCCATGCACGAGTCACCTCCCATTGAGGCAAAGCCCTTCAGAAATCCCAGCAGGAAATACTCCCTTTCTGGTCAAGGTGTGGGACAAAACATTATCAGAGATTTTCTTTTCAGCCTTTAATTTTTGCAAGCTGTGGGAGGTGCAGCAGAGGTGGTGTACACCTTAGGCAGCCTGCTGGGAAACACGAAGGTTTGCCTAAGGAGAAACACGAAGGTTTGCCTAAGGAGAAACACATTATGGTTATTGCAGAGGGATACTGGTTTATTGAACTTCAGAGCGGAGCTGGAAGCCATGACATTGCCAGAAATTAAACTCTGGCTTGTTATTGAATAGGAGCCAGGTGCTCCACTCAGCTCTGACCCCATTTGTGTTGCAAGGAAATGAAGAAAAGTTTTGCCAATTTTCCTGTGGAATAAAGGACGAAGCAGCAGAAGTGCTGTGACCCCCCAGCTCCGCAGCCACCACGGCATCGCCAGCTTTGTAACGGGTTTCATGCATCCTTTGAAAACACACATGCACGTAACAATTGCTTTTGCTCCAAGAGAGGGACCGCACTCACCGCACAGCTCCTTGGTGTCCACATTACTGGAAGAGGGAGAGGACGAGGCAGAGGAGGAAGCAGGAAAAAAAGAGAGAGAAAGACAATTTTAATGTAAAGAACAGACAAAGGCACAGTTAGGATTTCTGCAGGCTTAACCCCAGATACCCACCTGTAATGTCACCCCCGCCCCAACATCCCCCAGCCACCAGTGGCTCTCTAAGGAGAAGGCAATGGTTGGTGCCACTCAGGGCACCCACACACCTCTGCATCTTCAGCATCTGCGCAGTTGGGACAGGTTCACACATTATTTTGGATATTCCGAGGGGGAAATGGGGACTTCTGCATCTCCCCAAGGGTGGGTCTGTGCCTATGGGGGACTTGGCACAGCAGCACCTCTGCCTTCCTCCCAAATATCCACCCTGGCAACACCCTGCTGAGGCACCCAAGGCGGCACAGGAGTGTGTTTATCCCCATTTGCTCCGAATAAAAACTGGCAAAATTTACTTTTCTAGGTGGATCAATTTTCCCGACTCTGCCCCTGCGAAGCATCCATGAGGCTGTGCACAGTTCCTCCCCAGGACTCCCTCCGGACAAAATTACACAATTACTTCTTAATACATGAACGTTTAGTTTATGTAACGACATCTCAACAGACAACCTGCTAGGGAAATAAAGATTGCTGCTAATCTCTTTGTGCCTCAGAGTCCCACACAATTATTAGTGCCATTCAAGCACTAGAATGATCTCTTAATAGAATTATATTTTATCAATCCATTTATGTCCTGGAAAGCTATTTCTTTAACTAAACTCATCACTGCCCTGTCTGACCTGTTGGAAAGAGGTATTTTTAATGCTGCTTTCATTAGCAGCATCCTCCCGCAGCCCTGCCACGGACCCGAAAATCCTCCTGACCATGCCCTGACCAACAGGTCTGCTCCCAGCCCGCAGGACCTGGGCTCTTCCCTGTCTCCATGACCTGAAGCTTTCACTTGCTGCTGACCCTCTTTTGTGATGAGATACCCTTCTGAAGGGATGATGCGTGGCAGGAAAGCATTAATTTGGGATTGCTCTTCACTAACAAGGCCACGCATGAACCCTATCATCAAGGATTCACGACACAAAGCACAGTGCCTTTGCAGCGAGCTGAAGTACCCAGGAAAATCTCATCTCTGCTGAAATCTTTTGCTATCTTCCGCAGCAGGCTCAGACCCCATGTGAGCAGAGCAGCCTCACTGGGCTTGGCATGGCAGTGGGACGGGGCACAGGCTGCATTTCCCACTCAAATAGCATTGTCAAGAGAGCTTCTGCTTTAGCAGAGAGACTAATATAGGAGATTTTTTCTTTCTATTTAGGCTCTACCTGAGAAGACACAAGTTCCTGCAGCTCAGGGACCCTGCTGGCCTCTCACTAGATGCATTTCATCCCTTCAGCATGTTAGCCAGGTGCACTACAGCTAAGCAGAAACACATGTCTGCACTGGTGATACCTGGGGAGGAAATTCCCCAAATTCACTGTACCACCTGTGCCCTGGTTCTCCCCAAAAGCAGAGCCCCAGGTGATGTTACTGGGGACCCCTTCACCCCCACTCCTGAGCTGTGGGACCTGCCGGGTGCTGAAGGCAAACACGAACATCTTCATCGCGGGAGATACTGGCTGCCGGAAAGGTTCCACCTGACCTGTCTCATGCTGTAAAAGCACATGTTACTGAATCACACACCCTTTTGGGTAACTGATGTCTGTCATGGTATAAAAAAATCATCTCTCGTCTCAGACACCTTCACGGTGCAGGATACAACCGCGTGGCAGCTGCTGGCAGCAAGCGCGCTGGCACAAGCTTCAGCCGGAGGTGCGGGCGGCACATGCATCTCTCTGCAAAGTGAGCTTTCGCACTACTTTATCTTAATTCCCTCGGAGAATTATCATCTTTCTCAAACCCTGGAATTACTTCACTGAATCCTACCAACCCCTCCAGGGATGCTGCAAGCTCAATTTCCCTGACTTGATGTTCTCATGCCCAAATCCACTGAATATGCAGATCCAAAACACTACCCCAAAGAGTCAGCTCCTGACTGAATAGTCCACAGCGCTTCGGCAGCATGTGATTGCTAACACAGAGCCTCAGAGAAAATTCAGGTAGGGGAAGAAAGCTAGAAGATGCATTTCCAGCACTGGAACAGCCCCATGCCTGCCCGAGGACCATGGTTGGTCTTTCATCAAAGCTCTCGCCAGCACAGAGCCTGGGAAGTCAACTGATACTCTCAGGCACATGCACAGGAGTAGTTTTTACATCAGCATCACCCACAAAGTGCTTAAATAATATTTTTCAGAAGCCAGTTAGTGTTTATAAACACCTACTGAAGTGGTTATGGGTTTGCAGTTTGGACATGTTACTGAGAAAAAAAATCTATTATTGTATTCCATGTGGTTTTGCATTGTAATAATTGTTCTGCTGCTGCCAAAAATGGTCTTTTATTTCCTCACATCCTGCCATCATATTATTTAACTTAATTGTGCTTGAATGTTAACTTGGCAGAGAAGCTGCTTTTAATTTTAAGCCATTTTGCATTAAGAATAAGCCTAATTAAAGAAATTACTGAAGTCATAAGCTGACTTAATAAGAAATATGATAATATTCAGATGAAAATTTGTAAGGAGAAATCAACGGGTATTTGAGCACAACCCATGGCATTTCCTAGGATGTTTCCATCCTGCAGGAGTGTGCCCATCGGGAACATCACTGACATGAAGCCATGTCCCCATCGGTGTTACAGGGGGTTTTGCTGCCCAACGTGGGTGCTGCATAGCTGAACATGCAACACAAGGGATGTGCAATACCCAGCTACAAAACAATTTACAAGCTGCTCTGGTAGTTTAATGCTTTAGTAGCTAACCACCCCACAGGTTACGTCAGTAGGATTTTTTTATGATGCAAATATTAATGATCTGGGTTTCAAGCCTTGTGAAATGAGAGATGGCAGCTCCCCACCAATACCCTTGTCATCTCCAACGCTTCATCCCAGCACTGCCCTTCAAAAGATAGTTTTGGAGCAGTCACATACCACGAAGACCTTTGACGTGAAAACATTTTAGGTGAGCACTAGTTACTAATTTTTTTTTCAGCTGCCAAATATTCAACATTCCTGTAAGGCACAATAAACTAAAAAGAAAAATTGCAACAAGTTGTTCTAATTTTTTCAGGAAAAAAAAAAAAAATCTTTCAGCTACCAGAACACTTGGCTGTGAGTTAGCTTTTAATTTTAAGCATTCTTACATTAATAGTATGACTAATTAAAGAATTTATTGAAGCCATAACCCAGCTAACTAAGCAGAATATAATAATGTCCAAGTGAAGTTTTAAATGAAGAAATCATTGAAGACTTCTGTGTTATATAATTTTTTTCTGCATAGTAGAGGCCACATCTATCTGATCTCTTTCCAAAACAAAAGTCTTTCTTTCAAAGTAGAAAAAAATCAAGCAAATCCAAGTCTTTTTGGTTTCAGGCCTTTTTCTCTCTTTTCCAACCAATGAAGCTGTAACGTGGAGCAGCACAACCTTGCATCCCCAGTCTTGCTGGGGATGTGCACCTTTGAGATTACTTTCCAAGGCAAAGATATAATTTAGAGATCCTCCGTTTGCCGCTTGGGACCTAATTTCTTTGACAGAATATGAGCCAAACATGAGAGCTCAGCTTTCAACATAGAGCATCTTCTGAAAAATCAAGAGTACAAGTCATAAATTAATTTGGCCACAAAAAGGACTCTTTATTGCTCACCGCCCACCTCCATTTAAATACACTGGGATAATTTGACCAGATAAACATACTGGCAATAGGGAAATAGTTTTCCCTACTGGTTCGCATCCAGCTATTTAAAAGAAAAAGAAAAGTCCTCAAAGCATGGTACTCCTCCTTCGTATGTGGGAGTTTAAAGAGCAACAACCGTGCTGTGAGAGCATCTCCTCAGTGGGCTTAATTAAGTGAATTTGCCCAGAAAGTAATTATTGCCGCATGACCAGCAAGAGGAGGAGGCTGCCCAGAGTAATCGCTGTGCCTCCTGCGTACTCCAGAGATAAATACATTCCTCCCCCAAAACCCCTACCTTAAAATGTGAGCAAGAAGCTTGATGAGAGCCTGAGCTAATGAGGATCCCTAGGAAGTCACCTCTTTGCCTCACCATGTCCCTGATTGCATATTATCCAGTAGATGGGCTTTTATCAGAGTTGTCCCTATACTGACTTTCTGCTGCTTTTCCACTGGCTCAAAGCACTTCTAAGGTATTTTTTCCCTCTCTACCTGCCTTTCTTGAAACACATTGCCATTTTTGAGACCTAGGAGGTCTTCAGGACTCAGTAGGGCAAAGCCAGGGTTGTCCTGGTCCAGTGTTGGTGACAGTCCCACTACTAAGGACTAGAGCCCTGCAGAGGTCCCCTCCAACCAAAACTGCCATGAGTCTACCATCCAGCATCTCTCCCTCTCTTTCCCAACACCTCCCTGACTCCCTAAGGCAAGGCTGATGGCCTCTGACTTGCTGCTGTTCATGCATTTCTCTCCAGGCTTCTCTTCAATTATAGAGAGGAGCAGGAAAGTTATCTCAGAATGGAAAAGGTGGAGGAGCGGAGCATGAAATTCCCTTCTAAGTTTCCAGCTCAGCCAAGGGAATATGTCCCAGGCTCTCCCAACGGGGCAGCACAATCAAAAACATAATGGAAATTCAGAAGTTGCAAATACATCAAAGTCTCATCTTCACAGCGTATTTCTCATGCAAATAGCTGCCTGGATGTGCTGCTCAAATGCCACTCAACACCTGATTGGCTTCAGCTGAACATAATAACCCTTTTACGGCAGATGAAAGATTTGCATCAGCAGCCACATGGCTTAGTTGCTTCACTAGCACAGAAAATAGAGGTTTTTCTGAAATCACGTTCTACTTTTATATCCATCTTCAATTCACGGCTTTGGGTTTGTTATAAGGCTTCAAACGAACATGGGAACAAATTATCCTCTAGCATTAGCCACCTGCAAAACTCATTTTCATTTAGGAAAGC